GCTTGCCATAGAAGGAAGACATTGAAAATTTTCACACCACACTTCAATTTTAAGTTCCATTCTAAAAAAAAACTGAACTCGGAAAGATCTCCCCTCCACTTTAACCTGGCGGTATTTTATGAGTATGATCACTTTAACTGGTTTAAACTTTTTACACCTTCTCATGCCATCTATAAATTGGATCATAAAGTCTAGATCTTCACTTAATTTTCAGCTCTTAATATAAAACAATGGAAATATGAATTTAAGCAAAAAATGCTATCATGGATCCAATTGGTCATAGAAGGTTCTTTTTTTAAAGATTGTGTTTTTCACCATATTTGTGACCATACTCTCTGGCTTGTGTCATAAAAAATATTAAAGTTAATATAAATGTTTATAAACTAAAAAGTCATTTTTCAAACAGTTTTTTAATAACAATTTTGATAAAATGTTGAAATTTTTTTAATATTATCTTAAAATTGAAGCCTCTAAGGATCAATTGTGATCTGTTAAATACCTCTAGAGTCACTGTTTAAGGCAAATACAATTGTTTAACACATTGCCTGCTGTAGAGGAATTGGTAATACTTTCCATTCACACCAATATCACCAAGATGGCACTACAGTTACATCAAAATTATCAAATAAATGGACCTCTCTGGCATGCAGAGTAATTTTTTTTAACTCTCCTGCATGCAGTCAGCAGGAAATGCATACTTAATGCTTAATAGCATACTTTAATAACTCATTAATAATCAATAGGGCTATTAACATCGATAAATTACTGCAAAAATAAGAGTTTGTTACAATTATCTCTATCAATTGTTCATGTATTCACTTTTCAAGATCTATAACTATTATTGAACCATTTTTCTCTAAAATGTATAAGAAACATTTTGTAGACAAAAAATTATTTTTCACATTTTATAATTGTTAAAAAAGCAAAGCAAAATCAGCTGTATGTCTTCAAGGATTTGTTATCAACTATCCCTCATATAAGTACCTTTTGGAACCTTGAAAAACCTGTATAAGATTTTTATGTGAAATCAATGATTTTTTTTCACAGATTGATGGGAATATAGTGAAAATATTGCCCAGGAAATCTAAATATACACTATTTTCTGCAACAAGTCAAACAAAACTTTGTGCAACATTTCTAGTGAGTTGTGATCTTATTTTTTTGTTATGTAATTTCTAGGTTTTCTAGGTTGTGAATTATTAGTTGTAATTCTTGGTCGAGTTGATTTATGATTGGAATTATCTCTCTGTAATATTGTACAGCAGGAAGTGTGCATTCAAAAAATGGTATTCTCCAATCTCTTTGATATTGAATATTATCAGCTATACATTTTTGTTTTTTAACCATTGCTGTACTTATCTCTGAAAAACTACATAGATTGCACACTTTTAGATCTGTATGAAAGTTATATTTGATAAAGTTTGCTTTCTGTTATTAAGAGCTATAAATAATAATAATTAATAGCTATTTCTGCTAATTTCTAGCTAATTTCTAATACCTATCACAGCAATATCATCAGTAAATACTACCATCAAGCAATAGTTTTAATAATTCATTAATACATAATATAAAAATAAAATATTCGTTATTTCTTTTCTAAGTTTGTATCAATTTATAGGCAGTATACCTTATGCCTTAGATACACAGTTTATCAAGCAATATTCTGCACTGCACAGTGTCAAATTTTTTAATTAAGTTTAGAAATGCAACCACTATTGGGTTACTGTTTGTTCTATATTATATCTCTAAGACAGTTTAAGGAGTTTAAGAATCTATTAATATACTATTTAACTGGGAATAAGCCACAATTAAAGATAAAAATATGTTCATTGACATTTAAATTTCCACTTCAGAAATCGTTCTCAAAATACAAACACTGTTTGTATTTTGAGAACGATTTCCAAAGTGGAAATTGAAACGTCAATAAACATATTTTTATCTTTAATTGTGGCTTATTCCCAGTTAAATAGTAATTAATTTAAAATGCCACAAGAAAATAGCTTCACAATAATATTAAGAATCTATATTATTTTTTAGACAAAATTTTTTTTCTTGTTCTGATAGCTTGTATGTGGTATATACAGACACCTACAGTATACAGTATCAGTGTATTTGTATATTTGAGGGAGGGGGGCTTGTACCCTTATCTTTTTTTTTCAATTTTAATAATATTAATCTGTTGTCAAATTTAGGCACTTGGGATCAGCATATTCAAGTAGTTATAATCTATATAGTATTTGGTTTATATGTGCAATGTATAGCTTATTATAACTAAATATAGCTTATTACAACTAAGATGTTAAGATTCTAATTTCTATAATGATTTGATGTCAGCAATAATCTTTTAGAATAGTCCTCTGTAGATTTAAATAAATATTATATATGTTAGTATATGTTATTTTTAATTATTGCTTAAAATATTATAAATAAAAACGCATATGTCAGAGATATGTGCAATCATTTTAGTTTCTTTGGTTCCATTGGTCAATCAGAAATTAAATGGCTTAATTTGCAACCTCACATTAATATTGACTTCTTAATTTTACCTATATAATTAATAGATATCTATATTTTAATTTAATTACCTTCAGGAAAAACTAGATCAATTGCTAAATACTGTGACAATAATTTCAAAGTATCAAAATTATATTAAGTAAGCACCTCAGTTCAAAGGTACAAGTTGATGGCCTTTTTGATGAATTGTTGTTTTACTTGTGAGCTTATAAATTGGGGATGAACTCTTTTTTGTATATAGTCCATCAAAATATTAACCTACCGACAAGTACATATAGCCATTTTGAAAACTACATTGAGTGCACCTATTTTGAGCTGCTCCAAAATATTTTCGACTTTGAATTATGTCACATCTTTGATCATGAAGTTCAGTGAGTTCAATGAGGTTTAGGTTGAGTTTACCGAAAGTACAAGCTGAATATAGCAACAAAGGTCAACCAAGAATTAACATATTTAGGTTTGGCAGTGTTGGGATGTTTTTAGAATGCATCTGTTGTATGCTTCAAATATAAAGAGAGAAAGTTTTTAAAAAGTAAATATCGATTTTACTATTTTATGAATTCTGCAATTTTTAATTTATATGAAACAATAATGAGTAAATATTTTTGTCTCTTAAGATTAATTGCAAACATCTGTAGCAATCTGGCAACTGCTGATTTGACGATTGCCAAATCTATTCCCTAATCTATCAAAGGGTAAATGCCAAAAAAAAAATCTAATAATTAACTGCAACTAATCTGCAAAGAAACAAATATTTACTCATTCTTGTTTTATATAAAACAAAAATTGCAGAATTCATAACATAATATAAATAAACTAGTTTTCTACAACTTTTTCTTTTTATATTTGAAGCATAACTCATCTACATTATAAAAACATGCCAACACTGCTAAACCGAAATTTTTTGTTCGATGTTTGACATTTGTGGCTATAATCAGCTTATACTTTCTGTAAACTCAACTAAAGTTTATTGGTAAACGAGAGACAAACAAAGTGAAAAAACTAATTCTCTCTTCTATCAACAGAAAATGTTTTGTGAAGTCTCTCTACATTTCTTCAGTTCTAACTATTGTTCAAGTAAAAATATAGGTGTAAAAAATGTTAAAGTACAGAGTTATTTTTAAGAAACAATTTGGTTACAAAATATATAAAATTATCACAGTTTAAAACAATCAATCTAAATAATCCATAATCTTGATTTTAAATATTAGAACAAGTCCATTCATCCAAATTTAGACAATTTCCACCCATTACCCCTAAAATATTTTTTATCTTATCATTAAAAAAAAAGTGACTATTAATCTTTAGTTTTTCTTTAGTTCTATTAAAGATAGGTATACTTTCCTAAAATTCCTATCAAGATGATGTTTGAGCATACCCTGTTATATGAAATATGAAGCCCTACATCAAACTCAAGAGCTAGGTGGCAAAAACTGATAAGACTGTCAAAAATCTTGACTTAAAATCAACAGGAATCCTGAGATGATAAAACATCTAACAAGGTTAGAGGCATTAAAACAAATGAAAATGGACTCAGAATATTCCGCACTAATTGGTCCATACATGAAACAGTGGTATTGGTCCATACATGAAACAGTGGTATTGTTCTACACTGATATACTTTACTGGGGCAACATTTTTTTCTTATTAAAGTAAACAAGTCAATACAATTTCAAAACCAGGCAAACCAAATGATAATCCAAAAAACTGTGCCCCATAGCCCTACTCAGCATAGTATATAAACTGTTGGAAAAGCATTTTTTCAACAATTAGTAGCAGAATACTTGAAAATATCCCTACTGACTAAGCAGGATTTCACCCTCATACTAGCTGTATGGACTAAGTCTTGTCACTAACCACTTTTAAGCTAGTTTTCACAACAGTAACAAAAAACATTATGTGCTTATGAAGAATCACTATTATGTCAAAACTAGTACCAGAAACACAAAATTCCCTAGTATAAAAACATGAGAGAGTATTTAATTGACTTCTATGATAAGTGATATGAAAGACATAAGTATAAATTTTATTAAAAAATAATTCTGAGAATTTTGAAAATGGGTAGTGTTTAAAAAACATCACAGAAAAATAGAAACTAAAATGTGAAAATTTTATTGGACAGTTGTTTATTCTACTGCTTGTTTCTTCAAGGGGCACTTTTTGACTTCAGGCTAAAACTATCTATTATTATAGTTAATATATTAACTTCTTAATTAACATTCAAATAACGGATAATTATGAACTAGCTCAAAGATTACTTACTTTTGTTGAAATCTAAAAATTATTTTGAGTTAATTCTTATACTTCTGACAATGATCATACATGTTAATTAATGTTTTCATAATTTATTTTTAATTTTAAATAAAGTCATAAAAAATTTAAAAATTTGAACAAAAAGTCCTTGAAAAATGCTTTATTTTGTGAGAAAATTTATAAAATGTAAAACAGATGCATGAAAAACAAGAGGAATAAAGTTTGGTAATCACCTTAATATGTTGTGAGATTCTTGGGACTCCGTTGTGATTGGGGTTATGAAAGCCGGATCGTTGAGGAACACTTTCGATTCGTTTATTTCAGCCATACTTTTACTATAAAGAGGTCATAAACTTTAAAATCACAGCAAGGACACTTTCCACACTTAATGTAATTCAAACATTTTCACAAAATATCTCTGATGTAAAAAAGTCCACGTATGTAGTGTCTTTCACATTTATATTCGCCTTATATTTATTTATTTATATTATAATGTGACAGCTTTAGTTTTTGCAGACGCCTTTTTCATTTCTGCCACTTTTCTCCATTTTGTACAGTACGCCAACGTAATCAGCTGTCATAAACTACATAGAGCCAACATTGGCCGCGTTCACCAGACCAGTGCGCTGTGTCAGCGCTGTCAAGCTGCTTACGCTTTTTCTGGTAAATGTCATTGTCAATTTACGCTCAACTTCAGCACGTTTACAAAGCGGTCGCCATTTTATTCAGCGTAAGATTTTGACCGCTTAATAGTGAACGTGTTGAACGAAATATATTGTAATGGCGCACTTATTTGAAAATATTTACTTTTATAATGGTTTTAATTATAAAATAATTGAAACTGAGGAGATACATAATTTGTTAGGAGGTAAGTAGACGTCAATCGGAATCGAAGGAAATGTGAAGTATTATTATTGGATTTTGTTGTAGATGTAAATTACTTCGAGAACTATATTTTGGAAAATTCCAACTGTATAGAAATTCAGAGTGCTGAAGATGACGTCAAAGAAAATAAAGGTACCTATTGTTTTTATTGTTATGTGTATCTAAACGCAATAGTTCCGTACTATTATGTGCTAACCCTTCTTTGTTGAGCTGATACGTTGTTTCATGTTATGAAAAAAGTACTCACTAATTAGTGAATTATTTATAACTCTTTTACATAATCCTATCTTTCCTCCAAAAGAACAAACATCGTCGGTTTACTGCCAGAAGTCACTGACATTTTAGTAAAAACAGAGTTAGGCGTCTTGAGTAAGTAACAGTTAACATGAAAATTTTATACACCACAATTCACTAATTAGTGTTTTCCTACTTGCAATTAATACTATTTTACTTCAATTTAATAATTGTTTATTTGATAATGGCTATTCAAAACTAGTAAATCTTTAAACAACCATAACTATTTTTTATTGTAGTTACTTATCATTCTCACAACATTTTCAATATGTCACAAACAAAATTTCAAAAAAACTGATGTATTAAATCGAATATCCAAAAATCTAAGTACCTACATGGACTAAGCTTACTATATATAAATCTATAATTGCACTATATTTTTGCTCTACACTACTGTTTCTTATGAATAATTCAGATTTGCAAACTTTACAAAAAAAAAAAAAGAGTATTATAAGGATAATTTTAGGTTGTAATAAATTAATATACCAGCAGAATTTATATGTTGAAAATCTTAAACCTTTTTAAGTGACAAGCAATTGTGTTGAACAGTATGATCTTTATTTACAAGATTCTTAATAATTTGTTACCAACAAATAGTCAGTTACAATATTGCACTTTTGTAAAAGATATTCATGATCATAGTACTTGCTCTAAGAATAATTTTTTTTTATCAATGATGGTTACTAATTCTAGTCAAAATAATTTGTTTTATAAGGGATTAAAGTAATAATAATGATATACCAAACAGCTTAAAATATGCTAAAGATTTAAATGAATTTAAACATTTATGTAGAGAATATGTGAAGCAAAATATTGAGATTTAGATTTTAAGTAGAGTATTTTGTAACAAGATGCAAATTGTATTATATCTTTATTTTGTATTTTTCTAGCCATGTGCTAATAATAAAGATTATTATTATTATTAATTATATCATGTTTTGTGTTAATTCAAATAAGTTTTACCTAATATTTGCATGTTTTCTATTTTAGTCGAGCCTTTCTTATGGAACCCCCAAGGAACAAAGTTGTTGCTTCAAGCATACTTGGACAAAAGAGATTTGTTTCGGGATCCAAAAATAAAAAAAAAAGAATTGTGGGGCCAAATTCGTGCCATTTTTAAAAATCATGGTTACATTGTGACGGAAGATATCCTAGACAAAAAGTTCCGAAACATGAAATGTCATTATAAAACAATAAAAGACAACAATAAAAAAACAAAAACAGGACAAGGAAGAGTAAAATGGGAGTATTTTGATATTATGGACAACATATTTCAGGAAGACAAAACCATTAATCCCGATGAGGTTTTGTCTTCAATGAGTCTAAACCTACTGCATGTGTACAATAAACCCATAAAAAGAAAGTTAAATGAACTTAAAAGTCTCCCTACCATACCAAAATCTTTAAATGATGACCCTCAACCAATCACTGGTAAGATGGTGAGTATAGACGACCCTCAACCAAGCACTAATAAGCTGGTGAGGATAGATGACCCTCAACCAAGCACTAGTAAGATGGTGAGGATAGATGACCCTCAACCAAGCACTAGTAAGCTGGTGAAGATAGACGACACCACGTTAAATACACCAACCACAAAAAAATCATTGCAAAATCAACTGAAAAGCTCTGAAGGAAAAAAATTATACAAACTCCGACAAAACATGGCAGAGTTAGAAAATAGAAGAGTTTTAGCTCTAGAAAAAATAGCCAGGGAATTGGAAGAAAATAATAAAATTCAGAGGGAAAGGAATAATTTAATAAAACAACATTTAAATGTAGACAAATCATTATAATGAATATATATATATATATATATATATATATATATATATATATATATATATATATACACTCTATATCTTAATATCTATATATATTAAATAAAGTTACTTGTCGTCAAACATATTTTTATTTTTACATCATAGATTGTTCAATAATTTGATCATTTATTTAGTAATCATTTCGTCTGTAACATAAACGTGCTATATTTGCTCTCTTATTTTCTGCATTACCGATTATTTCCTGATTCTCCTCTCTGTTAATTTGCCCCACATTTTCCATGCCATTCAGAAAATCCACATTATAATCATCTAAAGGATTGCCTTGCAGTAATATAAAATTGTGTAAAACACATGCAGCTAATACAATGTGATTTGCAGTCTGGCCATTTTTTACATCTAGATACTTGAGTCTACGAAATTTCACTTTAAGCAGACCAAAGGCTCTTTCTATTACTGATCTAATACTTGAAACTTTTGCATTATAATTAATTTGTACTGGGGTTAGATGCCCATTGTCCTGGTAGGGTTTCATTAAATTGTTCATCAGTGGGTATGCCGAGTCACCAATTAAATGAAGATTTTGTGGTAGAATCGGATTTTCTCTTGTTAAAGAGGCATATAAATAACTCAACCTAAATACGCGAGCATCATGCATACGTCCTGGCTGACCTATTGTTATATCTATAAACACACCTCTTTCATCACAGACTCCTAAAAATGAATGCATCTTTAAGTTATTATATATAATATATTAAATACACATCTTACCCTGAAGTATTATGGAATGGAATCCCTTTCTGTTGTAAAAATCAACAGCATTTCCATCGGGTTGCTTGATAGGTATGTGACAGCCATCTATTGCACCAATAACTCCAGGAATACCTCGAGACCGAGCCTCAAACACCTACGAATTTATTAATCAATAAACATTACAATATAGGCATAATATATGGAAATATTCCAAGCTCCAGTTGAATTGGAAACAATAAAAAAGTAGTTGCCAAATCAATTCATAAGCAACAATTGATATGAGATTAGTATTTAATCTACAAGCATACAGCTGTTAGTGTATTTATTTATTAGGTACTTACATTTGCAGAGCGAAGATGATTTTGCATATTAGGCCATCTAATATATTGTGGCAATAACTGACCAATAATTTCTATCATTTCCATAAATATTTTGTGACCAGAGCTTCGTGCAAGCCCAAATCGATCCCCAACAGCTAGAAAGCTTTCTTGTTTACTCAGCACCCATATAGTAAACAGAAGTTTCTTTTGTAATGGGATTGTTCTGTCCAATTGATGTTCGTTAGCTCTAACAAGCCCAATAGAAACACTCAATTCCTAAGGAGAATGAAAAATAAATAAACTCTCATTTCATTTATTTACTCTTAAATCTTACCTCAAAGGTGACCCGAGACATACGAAAATGCTCACGAAATTGTAAATCGGTGTATTGAGGAACAATATTTTCAACATAATTCATATTTCTGGTGACATTATTTCTTTCTAGTGGAAATACATCATCCAATGGTTCTGCCAAGTCCAGCACAGCATTAACAGCACCAAGAATCATTTCTTGTTCATTATCAAACAACAATAGAGGTAGTATATTATCCATTTTTGAATTAACTCAATTATATTATTTATCTATGAATTAACTCCAATGTTTAGACAGGTGAGAACAGAAAACAAAACAAGCTAAAAGTTTCAAACCACAGAATACTAAGTTGTGATTTGGTTGTGATTAGTGTTCTGTGGTCAAACGGAAAAATACCATTCACCAGACTGAAAAGCGATGAACCGCTGTTGTTCAGTTGAAGCATAAACCGAATCTAAATCTGGGTGGACGCGGGCCTTGTAACACATATTTATTTAACTGTGCTTTTTATCCAGCTCTGATTTTCTGGAATTTCCAGAGGATCTGTACAATTAACGGTTGTATTTAATCCAAAATTGAATGAAACGTTAAAACTTTTCAAAAATAAATTACATTCATCTTGTTATGATAAACCTAAATATTAAATCAATAATTTATTCTAAAAAATTTTCCCCAGTGACGTAATTAGGAACACAGCCACTGCCTAATTTGGCGCCAAACTAATTTGTGCAACATCATAATTTTATTTGTATCTGTAAAGTAAAATTTCAATTCTCATTGTTCTCATTTAAATTTTATATTTCACAATTAACATAATTACCGTATTAATTTATGTATTATAGTAATTTACTATTTTGATTTTTTTAAAGATTGTTCTGTTATGTCAATTGTCATTTAGTAATTTTTATTAAATTTTAATGATTATTTTATATTATTTATTTACAATTTATTTTACTTTATTCCCATAATATCATTTAAATATGACAAAAATCTCTTTGTACACGACTTGTACAATTGTTTCTTGGTAGATCGTGACTTCAAAATATAATTGTTGATTAAACAATATTTTGAAGTGAAAATTTAAATCAGAAGAATATAACAGAATAATTGTTTATTATTCTGTGACAGAAGGAAGATTTATTCTTTTAGATAAGGAAAAATGTTAACTTTGTGTCAAAATAAAATCGGTTTAAAGTAATGTAAATTGCATACATTTGGCGAAACTCTACAAATAATTTAAATACTACAGAAAAGGTATAAATAAATCCAAATCATAAGAATTTAATATAAAAGCATCTTGAACTAAGACAAAGATTAGATCAAACACTTATCCCCCAATTATTTAACCTTTATTTAGAAAGGAGTCTACATTAGTGGATAAGTTGCTGTGAAGTTATGGTAATACCAAGAGAAATCTTAAGATTTTTTCCTTAGATTTTCTGAATTTAAAGAATAATATAATATTAATTCCGTATAATAATATATAATAATGCTCTACATTGTAAATACGGAACACTCGGAACACATCCAATCTAGAACTTGGCGGCAAATGGTATTATTGAAATGATTTACATATTTTCGCATTTAAGTAAACATATAAATTGTAGTATGATGTATAAAAAAGGTTATTGATCGGCGCTTAATTCAATAGTTAATGCCACTCTATTAGTTAACATACACCGGTTTAGTGAAATATTCTCATTTTCAAGTTTTTTTAAAAGATTGGCACTGATTATGTCAATTGTCATTTCACCGTTTTCTTCCCTTCATTTGTCAACCCTTTGCAAATTTCTAAAAATTTTTGGTTATTTATTTAAATTTAAATATGACCAGGTAAAATAATAATGTGAATTAATAATTATATCAACCCTCTTTAAAATAAATTTATATTCTTTCAGGGAAAGCATAGAACTGGGAAATGTAACTCCACATAATATAAAACAACTAAAGCGCCTAAATAGTGTGGTTTTTCCTGTATCCTATAACGACAAATTTTACAAAGACGTTCTTGAAGCTGGTGAATTAGCTAAACTCGCTTATTACAATGATATTGTTGTTGGGGCAGTGTGTTGTCGCATCGATACATCGGAAAAATCTAGAAGACTTTATATAATGACTCTAGGATGCTTATATCCTTACAGGAGATTAGGGATTGGAACTCTTATGGTCCAACATGTCTTGAATTATGTAGAACAAGATGGTAATTTCGATAGTATATTTTTGTAAGTATATTTTTTTCATTTTCATTAAATAATTCACATTCAAGTTTTTACTGAAGAAATATCAAACTATTTATATTTGACTAGGCTAAATGTATAATTGTATAAATCTCACAGCACTAAGTATATCTTAGTATCAACTAATTTCTAACATTTAAATTTGAACTTAAATGAAAAAACTGGTTTCAAATTTCATCCCAGTTGATTTAAGCAAGACCATTTTAGAAAATGGTACAAGGTAAAAATATAAAGTTCTTGTTGCATTAATTTTTCATAGTACCTATATACTAAATGTAATCTTCTAAATGGTTACTGTGTCACTACCTTATTTTTATTACAACTGTAATAGCCTGGCATAAAATTCTAGGTAAAGTGTAGTCTCAGTTGTAATATATTGAGTAGTAAAGAACTGCCAACAATTCAATGTAAACTATAGTGGACAATTCTGGTTCTCAGTTATTCTTGAATTTTCAGGTATATAAAGTCATCTTGTATGTATTAGCCCTGTAAGAATGAGTGGAGCTGTGTGGTGAATTTTCTATGGACTACAATAAAGCAACAACAGTGTTCAAATTTTCCATTACTGATCCTTAACATGGCGAATGGTTGTGATTTATTAGTGGTATCAATCATCCCGCTGAAGTATATATAATAAATTGTGCAATCGTTTTTGATTTCTGTAAATGTAATCATAGTAATGTTGAATTCAAAAATTTGAACAAGTTATTCATGAAATCCATAATAGGGACAATAGATCAATTTTTTTTTTAATTTATAATGCTAAAGAGTCAGTTATTAGTGAGTTAGAACAGACAATTAAAGATGATGTGAAGATAGTGCAGGAAATAAGGCAGTTTTTTGATATTTTAAACGTAAAGCAAGCAGATGGATAAATATGATGGATAGAATATTTGAGGAGTGTCCACACAAAACTACACATGTCCACTTAAAGTAGTTTTGAAATATGTTACAAAAACTGTTTGCACAATGGGAAATAATTTTTATTTGACGAAAATGTCAGTAAGTATACTTACGTGCACACTGATTTGAATACTTACTTAATTAATAATTACTTTTTTTTTGTTTGATAAGGAATGAAAAATAGTTATTTTTAATTTGGACATGTGTGGTTTTGCTCAGACAGTATGGACATGTGCAGTTTGACTGGACTGGGTGACGGACATGTGTTATTTTGAACAGTTTATTGGTAAAATACACAATAAAAAGCAGTTTAAAAATATTATAAGGATTAGTATTGCCCTCTATGACGGAGTATCCACACACAAAATAGGTAAAAAAGCCTAATATAGAAAACTTTGATTTGTGGACATGTGCTGTTTTGAAAAAGAATTTGCACTAGTCCATATTATGAACTCATGGACATGAGTAGTTTTGGTAGAAATATACAATCAAATTACTCGATTAGGACATGTGCTGTTTTGCTCGGATATGTATATCTTCCTATGTGTTTAATACAAGACAAGATGTATTTTGTTTGATTCTGACCTTATATTCTTGTTCAGTTTAGGAATTTCTATAGAATCCCACTATTATCTCATTTTCACTTAATAATGGACATGTGTCGTTTTGAATAGACGCTCCTCATTTATCTAAATATGATAGATAAAATTATTTGTTTAGAAGGGTCTTGTAGGCACATAAAGGTCATTTTAGGAACTTTTACAATCTGATTATAGAATAAAAGATGATCAAATAGATTTACAGAGACGATAGTTTAAAATGTCTTTAACTGAACTTGATTCCAAAAACAAAGAGTTCACGAAAATGATAAATAACATTACATAAATTGGTATATCAAAGGCTATCCAACAGTTATAGAGCAACAAGAAAAAGGGCCAAAAAATTAATAAAAAAACTAAATACTTTCTCATTGCAATTATATTATCAGGACACAATGTAGTGTCAAAATGAATGTCATTTTTGTTTTTCTTTCTGTGAATTTTTCTTTTTTATTGGTACTTATTGTTTTTTTTTTCATTTTGAGGTGCTGGTGCTCCCCACAGGTTGAGAAACTCTGCTCTAGTGTAATAAGCAACAATTTTTAATTAGCTGCCATAAAATATTTTACAGTAAAACATAAAAAGGTCTTTTTTATATCATCACTTATGCTGTATAATGTAATACAGATTTTTAATTATAATATATTTTCCAGAATTATACATTAAAAGTCTAATTTTATATATGTACCAAATTAACTATTCATCAAATATAATTTGAATATTCAAATTATGAGTGTAAAAATCACAATTTAAATTTTTTTTCTCTTAATAATTTAAGTACTGCATACAATATTATGATACCTTGAATCAAGCTTGCATAATATCCCCTCCACATTTTCACAATTATTTGTCATTGTTGTACATTTTCAGTATTAACGCCTACAAAAATGTGATCTTATATTTGTAGCTATTGCAAGCTTTTAAAAGTTTGCATGTAGAACTTAGCATTATTTCTTTCTTCGCTTGCATTTTTAATCTTCTTGATTTGTGGAACCAATAATACACTTAATAAATTCTCTCCAACATTTTTAACAAAACAATGCTCCTATTAGCTTCCTGAAGGAGCAAGATTTTCATAGAATGGCTGATATATAGGAACTAAAGAAAGTAACTGAAGCAGGTCTTTCTTATTTCCATCACTAACCAAATTATGGCTTTGGTAAGGTAGGTCTAGTTCATATATCGTGAATCAGTTTAAAGAGTTTAAAAGTAAGCATCTTTTAATTTAAGTATTTATACTTAAATAGAGTCGTTCAGATAGCCAATTGGGTTAGGCAGATAAAATGTTTTCACTTCACTGTGAAAGTGATGATCTAATGGCTTGATAGTTAACTGTAACCAGAAAACAAAATCTATATGAATCTGGTACTTAGACTAGAATAAGTTTGTATGTCAGTAGATATGCAGGCAGACACTACCTGTGTTGGCTTCTGAAATTTCCTTTCATCAGGTAATATTTTTCCATCACTATATTTACTTGTGTAGATGTAAATGTTGTAGAAATACGAGTTTGGAGCACCCTACAAACAAAGTAATTTGAGGCCATAATTGCAGGTGGTAGTGCCTTTTGAAAATATACTGTCATTGACTCATTGCCAGCACAGTGATTAAACACTATGTATATATTGTGGTTTATGTGTAGTTAATTAAAGATAAAATATTTTGTTTCAGGCATGTCCAAGTAAATAATGAAGGGGCCATCGATTTTTATAAGAAATTTGGTTTTGAAATTGTAGAAACAAAAGAACACTATTATAAGAGAATAGAGCCTGCAGATGCACATGTTCTTCAAAAAACTCTTCGAAACAAGGGCCAAATGAATGGCACTATTGAATGAAATTTAAGGCTCAATGCTGTAATTTATTTGTTATAGTATTTTTACCATTTTTGTTAAGCTAATTTTACCACGTTTTTTTGTACATACTTAATAAACTCAATTTGAGGTTTTCATTTTCATTATTTATTTTTTATAATTATATTTGATAAAAATAAATATTACCAGTTCTGTGGAAAGTTAACAATGTTTATATAAATAATGTTTTCATCATCATTATAATATTAACACAGATAGTCTTCAAAATCCTTCTCAAGCATTATATTATTCTGTTCAGTTTTGTTTATACATTTTGATCTACTTCTTCTCAAGGCCCGTGCATTTCTGTATAGGCATCCATTGTACATTGTCTTGTTAGGTGAGATGTTAGTCAGGATTAAATTATTCTATTTTAGCAGCATTGCGAAGCATTTTATAAGTGGATTCCTGTCCACTTACAATATTATGCAGCCATGACATATTTTTATGTCCTAAACCTCCCTTACTTGATATCTTTACTTCTAGTACTAGTTGCTGTAAAGTATATCATTCTCCTCATAATATGTGCCCCAAATATTCAGTCTTCCTGCTTTTTACATAATCAAAATTCCCCATCCTAGAGGTCCAGTCTTATTAATATTTCCTCATGTCTGACTCTGTCCTATGATATTCTCAGCATTCGGTCCAGGCACCACATTTCAAAAACTTTAGGTTTGTTAATAGATTTGGCTTTTAACGTCCATGCTTCCATTGAATACAAGAGAAACAGGCCAAACGTAACACTTTAGCATCTTTTATCTCAAGTTGAAATTAAACTTGTGATCAGTTATAATATACGAACTTTTGTTATAATATATGTCAATGGAATATGAATAACAATGGGGACAGCTTGCAACCCTGTCTAACACCTCTTTTGATTTCTATTGTTTCTGTATCTACAATTTTCGATTCTAACATTTGCATTTTGATTCCAGCACAGATTGACAATAACCCATATATCTCGACTATCCACATTCTTTTCTTTTAACAGTTTTACGAGTTTCTGATGTCGTACTCTATCAAAAGCCTTTTGATAATCTATAAAGCAGACATAGAGATCCTGGTTCATATCTAGTCGACTTTGTGCGAGAACATTAAAACGAATGTTCTCTCTCTCTCTCTCTCCTCGTTTCTAGTCCTCCTCTGAATCCAAACTGGGTGTCATCTATATCTTCTTCTATTTTTTTGTATAGTCTTCCATGTATTATTTTGAGAAATATCTAAGTGTGTGGCTCATTAAGGAAATTGTCCTGCACTGGGAGCATTTTGTTGCATGTACTGACTTTGGTAGTGTTACAAATGCTCATTTCTCCCTTTGACTTTTCTCCTCTCTTCCATTAATGCTAGAATTTCTGAATTCATCCACTTCTGTTGTTGATTTGTCTTTTCAGGCTTTCAATTTTCTTCTGCAGCCTTCTGAATATTGCTCCACTTTTCATTGACATCTTGTGATGTTTTTTTTTTTTTTTTTTTTTTTTTTTTTTTTTTTTTTTTTTTTTTTTTTTTTTTTTTTTTTTTTTTTTGGATGAGAATCTTCTAAAGAGATCTGGGAAGAGGACCCAGATACTGTTGGATTCGTCTGAACTATAACGTTGGAATGTTGATAAGGTTAGTTCAGGCGCCTACCAACTAAACTCACCCTCTCTTCCAGCAGCGCACCCGGAACTTTTCTTGGCGAATGCAACTTCGGGAGCACCACCGCGGTCTCCAATTTTCACGAAAACCTAGTATAGTCCTCGGTAGAGAGTCTCAAAGGTAGCTGAGTGACATAATGACAGTATAAAAAACAATATAAGTAAATAAATAGGACAGTTACACTATAAAATTAGTACAGAACGCTGAAGTATGTGTCTAATGAGCAAAAAAACGCGAATTACAATTATTTTATTAGTCTTTCAGCCTATTCCTTCATCCTGTCTCGCTCTTTCTAGCGTCTCCTTTTTTTTTATGATTTCCGTTATTATTTCTAACACATAATCATAGTTCTTTCTGTTCTGCATAGCTAAGTCCAGTATATTATTGGGCGTGACCTCTCCTAGCTTAATTCTCAGTCTTTGACGTTCTTGTAGAAAGACATTACATTCGAAAATGCAATGTTCCGCGTCATCAGTCACACCACAATCCATACAGATATCGTCATTTGTTTTTTTAATTCTGTATGTATACGACCTAAAAGAACCGTGTCCGGTCAGGAATTGTGCAAAGAAATAGTTTATTCTCTTGAACCTACATTTGTACCATGCTTTTACATCGGGTATTAGTATTTTAGTCCATTGTGCTTTTTCCCTTTGTGCCTCCCATTCAGATTGCCATTCATCAAGGATCTGGTTCCTAATTTCGTCTCTTACCTGTGTCAGGTGGCCGTTGCCGTTATTGTATAGGATGGCTCTTTCTTTCGCTAGGAGGTGAATGGGGAGCGTACCAGCAATCACCTGTAAGGCTATCGTAGATGTAGTCCGGTACGCACTAACTACTTTAAGAAGGGGCTTTCTTTGAGCTTTTGTAATCAAGTCTTTGTACCTGGCAAACCTTAAGACTTCAATCCATACGGGGGCACCGTACAAAAGGGTCGAATGCACTATTTGCAAGTACATTCTTCTTTTATAATTACTTGGCCCTCCTATATTAGGCATTATTTTCATAATGGCCGCTGTTCTGCGTTCTGCTGCTTGGACTACATTTATCAGGTGTTTGGTAAATCGTAGACCTGTATCAAGGTGTATGCCTAGATATTTAGCACAATTGGTTGGGACTATCGTCGTACTTGCAAATTGGAAAGTCAGGTTGGGTATCGCTCTAGGCCCTTTTAATATAATTATCTCTGTTTTATTACACGCCAGCTGTAAGTCGTTAGTTGTCATCCACCTATTAACTTTTCTCCAGCATATATTAACTTTATTTATTGCATCCAAGTTTGTGTCACCCTCTATTAGTATTGCTAAGTCATCTGCATATGCAATTGCTGACGCACCTCTGCCGTAATCTATTTCCAATACTGTGTTATACAAGACGTTCCACAACGTTGGACCTAATACAGATCCCTGCGGTACTCCAGCCGATAGTTTTGTTTTTTCTTTGTTTGCCACTTTAATATATCTGTCGGTGAGGTAATTTTTAATTATATTTATTAGGTAGTCTGACACTCCAGCGGTTTCCAGTTTCCTTATGATGTATGCCCAATTGGCAGAATTGAAGGCATTCTTTACATCGAACATAACAAGGATTGCCCATTTATTTCTTGTTTGTTTGACTGTATCACATATAAATTTTACCGCGTCTATAGCTGATCGTGTTTTTCTAAAACCGTATTGCTGGTCAGAAATAGCTCCTGTGTTTAAGAGCTCCTGTTCAAGGCGGCGTTTTATGAGGCTTTCATAGAATTTCCCAATACAATCTAATAAACATATAGGCCTGTATGAACTAGGCCCGTCTGGTGGTTTACCAGGTTTTAAGATTAAGACTAAATTTGCAATCTTCAATTGGTCTGGGAATTCTTGGTTGTGTAGGAGCTCATTTAATACCTTTCTGGTGACTTCAGGATTTTCCTGTACCATAATATGTATGGCTTCTGGTGGCACACCATCTGGGCCAGGGGATCTCCCGATTTTTATGTTTTCGGCAGCTAATCTTATTTCATCTATGGTGAACTCGTCAGGTCTATTATCTAGAGTATATGGTAGAAATTGGCATTCGGGCTTATTAGGAAAAAGGGCTTTCGCAATTTCCTTTCTTTTTTCTACACAAAGGTTATATGGAGCCTCGGACCTCAGTGTCTTAGTGGCAATTTTATAGGCTTCACCCCATATATCGTTGTCCAGCGTGTCACACAGGTTCTGCCAGCATGTGCGTTTAGCCCGCTTTATTTCTTTATTTAGTTCTTTCTTTACGCGCTTATATTCTTCCAAGTTTTCTTGGGTCCTGTTCCTTTGTGCTATTCGCCTGACTCTGAAACATTTTGTTCTTTTAAGCTGTATCTCGTCGTTTCCACCAATAGGGTACAGTATATGTGACACATTTTTCCTTGCTGCTGCTTCTGTATGCATGTATTAGGTTTTTATGGTAGTTTGTGAAGTTAGTAGCTTCTTCTCGTAGGTTGCTAATTTTATTTTTAAATAGGTCTTTGTTAAAACTTATCTTTTTCCTACCGCTCTTCGTGACCTTGATGCCAATCTCGTAAACAATATATCTGTGAAAAGTAAAAATGTTTTCGTCAAGAACGTCCCAGTTAGATATTTGATTGGCATAACTTTCGTTTACGAGGGTAATGTCTATGTGGCTTCGGCTTTCACCCCGGACAAAAGTAGGTTTTCCATTATTTAGCGCTGTTAGATTGGCCGTAGAGATCCATTCGTTCCATAAATCCCCTCTATAGTCATTTCGTGGGGAACCCCATAAGATAGATTTAGCATTTATGTCGCCAGCGACTATAAAATTCTTTTCTATATGTGACATTTGTATTATGGATTCAATGTGCTGTTTGTATTGATCTCTACCTATGTTGGGTGAGATATAACAGGCAATAATAGCTACTTTTTCTAATTTGATTAGTACGTGCCCCTCCCCTTTTATAATCTTATTTATGCACACTTTATGATTTATGGGGTATATTGCTACATCTTCCCTGTTGTCTGTAATCCATCTGCTATTTTGGATGATTCTCTTGTTTGGTTCAGGTACTATTAGAATATCTGCTCCAATTTCGAGGGCTTTCGCATGAATCAGATCATGTGCAACCTTGGCTCTTCCGATGTTCACTTGTAGAATTTTTAGTCTTTTTAACCCGGTTAAAGCCATTTTGAAATCATTACCTTAGTATCATGTGTTAAAGGTCACATAGGATGACGGAACAGGCACTTAGACTGAAGTTGTCAGAACTCCCTGTGACAACGTCACTACACTAAAGGTAGCTGTAGCTTCGTCGCATAGAGATTTGGAGGACTCCAAAAGGGAGTTAACATGAACCTTGTTTGGAGAAGGGAAAGGAGGTATGGGAGTGAGCGTAGGAGGGAGGACATCCGCGTATTCTTCTTGCTGTTTTCTAAGTTTCTCATGATATCTCGCCTCCTGAAGGGCCTTCTTAAAATGTGTGCAGTCCATGCTGCCAGTTCTATGGGCGTCATTACAAAGAACGCACCTTTCTTCCTCTTGACACTTCTCTGCTTCGTGCT